ACGAGTGGGAGCGGAATGCCGGCACCCCCGGCTACAGCGCCTGCCCCGCGCCCGCCGCCGCGTCGCGCTGCGTCACCGGCACGTGAGTGGCGCTGGGCTGTGGTCGGTCGGCGGGTGGGAGCGGCGGGTGGGCATGCTGCGCGTGGCAGATGCGGCGCAGCCGGGGCCCGCGCGCGCCGCCTGGCTCACCCACCCGCACCTACGCCTGCCTGCCCCTTGCTCCCGTCCCGCCTGCCGCAGGTACAAGACCTCCAGCGGCTGCAACACCTGCTTTGGCGGCGAGAAGACGCTGGGGCCCCAGTGCAACACCACCTCCACCATCACCTGCACCGCCTTTGCCTGCTACTGCGCGCCCGCATACAAGAACGACCCCTTCGCACAGTGCACGCCGCTGGCGCCCAACCGCCCCGCGGTGAGCCGCCGCCGTCGCTGCCGCCGCCCGGGCGGCCTGCCTGGCCGAGCCGCATGCCTTGCCCGCTGCCTGCCTGGTGCCGCGCGCCGGTGCGCTCCCCGCGCTGCCCCGTGCCCGCTGACCCCGCCTGTGGCCCACCCACCTGCCTGCCTGCCTGCCCGCCGTGCAGCCGCCCGCACCCAGCTTGGATCAGCTGGCCGAGGGGGGCAAGAAGAAGTAAAGGGGGAGGGCATGGAGCCCTGCAACCGGCGCCAACCATCACAGCGCGGTGGGGCAGGCCGGCTCGGCTGGCTGTCGACGAGGGGGGGGGCACCCGCCCCTGGAAGCATACCTACTAGGCAGGGCCAGCTGCCGCCCCCACGCAGCACAGCCTCCTCTCCTCCCATCACCAGGCCGCGCCATTCTTTCCTGCCCCTCTGCGTCGGCCCGTCTGTCTGGCGCTGTTTGGTTTGTGTGAGCCGGACTTCTGCCACCCATGGCGGCGCTTCTTTTCTGCTTCAGCTTCCCACCCACTTGGTCACCCTCTCGGTGCGCCTCTCGCACGGCCGCTCCCGGCAGAGTGTTGCCGAGCTGCGCCGCCGCCAGGCCACGCCATGCCCCCCGCCCTCACCACAATTTGTGATGCCCCGGCTGAGCGCTTCAAAGCTCTTGTCCTGCATATAGTGTTTGCCTGGCTGATTGGCCGGCCGTACTCTAAGCCAGGGGCCCCAGCCCCGGCTTGCCCGCCCCATCTCATCTCAAGCCCTGGGCCTGCTGACGCACGGCCCCCGGTGCACCGCGCAACGCCTCAGAATTGTCTGCCACCGTTCGGGACCTCAGAGTAACCTAAGCAATGCACCCTGCATGCAGCCTTCCAATGATGTAAAGCCATGCTCCGGTGCAAAGCAGGCGCACAGCATGAGGTGCTTACAGCAGAGATCACAGGCGGGCAGAGTGCAGCCAGGCTAACAAAAGACAAGCAAGTGAACTGCGGTGGGCAGCTCTGAAGGGCCAGACAAGGGCGTCGCAGCGCGAATCATTCAAGGGCATGGGTTGCTGAAAAGGTGCACTGCAGCAGAGGCAGAAACTGGAGTGGAGGGTAGGGGTCGTTTGTTTGGTGCACGGACAGGACACTGGCAGCGTGGCCTCGTGTCTTGCTTGACCAAGGCAGTTAAGGTTGGCACAGCAAATGCGGAAATGATTGCCACAACAGGCAGGCACGGGAAACAGGCCGAGAAAGGAGGGAAAAGAGGGGTGGAAGAAGGCGCAAGGCAGTCCATACATATATGTAATCATGGTGGTGCGATGAGGGCAACCAACCATTAAGCCGACATCATCTCAAAATTTGTTGCAGTACATCGTCCGCTAAAAAAACAGGGGTGCACCTATTGGTGCAACAGCAGTGTGCTCCGCTGCAACCGGCTCGCGACGGCCGCAGCACGAGCGCGGTGCACTGCTCACACACGCAACCGTCTCATGGCGCAGCGCCGCTCCCCTGCCCGGGTCCAAGCATGCCCACGCCGTTGCAATGCTTGCAAGGCAGCGCCCCGGTGCCGCGGCAGCGCTTGCACCTGCACCGGGCCAGCAGGCCAAGCACAGTCGACGAGCAGACGGCCTGGCAGGCACACAACGCAGTGCAGGGGCGGCTGCCGTGTCGCCGACAAAGCCGCTCCGTTCCCCCACACCTCCCCCACCTGTTGCTCTTCATCCAGTCGGAGTCAAACATCTTGGGCTCATTCAGCCCCAGCAGCACCTGCACCTTGCCGGCTGCACCAGGCAGGCAAGGCAGACTAGGCGCAAAAAAAGGGTTTCTGGCCCAATTCCAACAGCAGCAAACCCCCATTCAGGAGACACCGCCAGGCAGGAAGCAGCGGGCCGTGCCATGGGCAACACGGTTCCGGCTCTGCAGATGGCCGCCGCGAGGGGTGCACCAGCTCGCTGGGCGCACCTGCGTGGCGTATCTGGTTCATCCGAACCTTCTCGGGCTGCACGATGCCAGCGCCCTGCAGAGGCACAGGCAGCGCGGCTTGGGTGCCCGCGGCAGGAGCTGGTGCTGCTGACGGTGGCTGCCGAGCGCCGCAGCGAGTGGCCCCGCAACAGACTGCCCCCCTCCAAATGGCGGGCTGAGCGGCATGCTCGCTCGCTTGTGCGGGCCGCCCACCTGGCAGGTGGGGCAGGATTCCTTGCCGGTGCCCCTGCAGTGCAGGCAGTAGGTCTGCCCCCGCACGACGCGCCAGGATGCGGCATTCATCAGCAGGTTGCCGGCCAGCACTCCAATCTCGTCCAGGCTCTGCTTGACGAGGCTCTTTGAGGCAGGTCCGTCAG